CGCACTAGGCACAGGAAAGTGGCCATCTAGGGCAGGAGGGCTGCCAGCCTGGCCACCCAGGAGCAGGTGTGCATGAAAATCAAGGGGGTCCACTGAGACCCCCGACCCTGAGCCCTGCGCTTACAATGGCCGTCCTGGGTCAGACCAAAGGTCCATCTAGCCCAGTAGCCTGTCTGCCGACAGCGGCCAACCCTAGGGACCCTGGCGGGGATGGACCGAAGACAGTGACCAAGCCATTTGTCTCGTGCCATCCCTCTCCAGCCTTCCACAAACTTTGGGCAGGGACACCACTCCTACCCCCTGGCTAATAGCACTCCATGGACCCAACCTCCATGACTTGATCTCACGTCCTTTTAAACTCTGTTCTAGTTCTAGCCTTCACAGCCTCCTGCATCAAGGAGTTCCACAGGTTGACTCTTTGCTTTGTGAAGAACAACTTTCTGTTACTAGTTTGAAGCCTGCTACCCATTCCTTTCCTTTGGTGTCCTCTAGTCCTTCTTTATGGGAACTAATGAAGAACTTTTCTGTATGCACCCTCTCCACCCAACTCCTGCTTTTAGAGACCTCTATCCTGTCCCCCCTCCATCTCCTCTTTTCTAAGCTGAGAAGTCCCAGTCTCTTTAGCCTCTCTTCATATGGGACCTGTTCCCAACCCCTGATCATTGTAGTTGCCCTCCCCTCTCCCACCCTCTCTCTTCCCCTCTCCCACCTCCTTTTCCTAGTCTCCCCCAGTTTTGTTCAATAAAGACAGATTCCATTTTTGGACACAATTGTCCTTTATTTTGTACATAAAGAAGAGGGGCTAGGGGAGGATAAGTGGAAGGAGGTGAGGGAGGAATGAGGTACGAGCCCCCTATGGGGAGGACTGGGCTGGCTCTGCGGGCTTCTGGGGGTGGAAGCTCTCCTGCAGCCCCCCAATTGCCCCCTCTCCCCAGATGGCAGCCTGCGGCAAGTGCAGCCAGGCTGATGGCCAAGTGCTGTGATGTGCCCAGTGTGGGCACTCCGGGCACTCCAAGCCAGGGCTGCATTGCAAGCAGGCAACCCCTGAGAACTGTCTGTCCGGGGTGGGGGTCGGGACCCTTTAAGCGCAGCCCTCGGCTAGCCTGAGACAGCATCTCCATGCTCTAAGTCCTCCTTTGATGCCCTGCCGGCACTGCTTCCGGCCATCCTTAAGCCCGGTTCAGGGCCCACTTAATGTGGACATGCTAGTTTGAATTAGTAAAACGCTAATTCGAACTAGTTTTTAGTTCTAGACGCGTTAGTTCGAATTAGCTTAGTTCGAACTAAGTTAGTTCGAATTAACGTTGTAGTGTAGACGTACCCTAAGTTATTTTTGTGGGTAACATGATGTATCTATATGAATGGGGTTAGTGGTGTACTTATCTATAAGAGATGGCTGTGAGAACTGAATGGTTACACTTTTATTCAAACCCCTCTAGTGAGCCTCATATGAAGATAAATAATTCAGCATGCTGTGTCATGTGTTCCAGAAAGAGCACAGAATGGATGAAAACAAATGTACAATACTTCTCCAAAAAAAACCCCTCCTTTTGCAGTGTTCATCGCATCTGAGGATATGTCTACACTACAGCACTAATCCGAACTAACTTAATTCGAATTAGTTAATTCGAACTAAGCTAATTCGAACTAGTGCATCTAGCCCTAAAAACTAGTTCGAATTAGCATTTTGCTACTTCAAACTAGCATGTCCACATCGAGTGGACCCTGAACCGAGGTTAAGGCTGGCCGGAAGCAGTGCCGGCAGGGCATCAGATTAGGACTTAGAGCATGGAGCTGCTGCCTCAGGCTAGCCGAGGGCTGTGCTTAAAGGGACCCAACCCCCACCCCGGACAGACAGTTCTCAGGGGTTTAGTTCGAATTAGCATTTTGCTACTTCAAACTAGCATGTCCACATCGAGTGGACCCTGAACCGAGGTTAAGGCTGGCCGGAAGCAGTGCCGGCAGGGCATCAGATTAGGACTTAGAGCATGGAGCTGCTGCCTCAGGCTAGCCGAGGGCTGTGCTTAAAGGGACCCAACCCCCACCCCGGACAGACAGTTCTCAGGGGTTCCCCGCTTGCTTGTCTAACTCGATGAGGGACAGCAAAGCAGTCCTGGCTTGGAGTGCCCTGAATGCCCCCACACGGCACATCACAGTACTCGGCCATCAGCCCGGCTGCACTTGCCGCAGGCTGCCATCTGGGGGGGGGGTAATCCGGGGGGTGGCG